GACTCACCCCAATCCCATGAGAGCAGAAATATTCACACCCATAGTGGAATTCAAGCCCTCCCCTCCCTTCAAGGTTATACTGATAGCACCATCTGCCTGAGCCAGTTCGCAGGGAGGGGGGGGAGAGTGCCTCCCTTATGTTACCCACGGTAGCCAAGCAAAGCAAGCATGTGCGGTTGCGCAAAGGCAGGAATGAAGGTAAACAAAGAAAGCATGGCATCTAGCTGACACCAACTTTTCAGTATCTATATATCTAATAGCGAAGGCGCCCCCTGAGTGCGGATATCTAAATCCACACATCGGGGGCACCTGGGGGCAGGGAGATTTTCCTGCACAAGTGGGGAAATGCCGAGGTGTGCAGAAAAATCTGAAAACTGTAAAAAATATATAGGGGAATATTTAAATCCCCCCCAAAGTAATACAGCGCCCACTGCGCATGCGCAGGGAACACTCTTAGAATGGCTTTGCCGCCACCAGAGAAGGAGAGGGGGTGGGGGTCATCATGTGCCCCGCCCCCCGTACCTCACCTGGGGGAACTGCGATCCCCCCCCCGAAATGGCCTCTGATTCACACCCATAGTGGAATTCAAGCCCTCCCCTCCCTTCAAGGTTATACTGATAGCGCCGTCTACCTGAGCCAGTTGGGGGGGGGGAAGAACGCCTCCCTTATGTTACCCACGGTAGCCAAGCAAAGCAAGCATGTGCGGCTGCACAAAGGCAGGGATGAAGGTAAACAAAGAAAGCATGGCAGCTGGCTGACTCCAACTTTTCAGTATTCTGTCTAAAGCTGTCAGTTCATCCCCAATAATCTGTGCTTTTTACGATTCACACATAAGATTTCATGATTTCTGGATGTGAACGGGCCGCTTGAAAACCCTGCCCAAGATGTTGAAAACCACAGGGTTCACACTGAGAGACTCTGGCAATACTGAATAGGAGAGCTGACAGAGCGGGAAGGAGAAAGTGGGCCCACCCTCACGAACATCCTCTCAAAGTTCTGGGGTATTGGAGAGCCAGGATAAAAGAACCCAAGGGGAATTCACTTGCTGGGGGCAACTGAACTAGTAACAGCCCCAGGAAAGGGGAAGTTAGGAAGGAAAAGTTTTTTTAAAAAAACAGGCAGACCCCTTTGGTTCTCTCAGAGAACTTCTCTGTAAACATCAGCACAGGGTGTTTGAGGACCAAGAGGGTGGTGGTGGCCAGCGTTCCCTCTAAGCTGTGAGCTAGCTCACAGTTTTGTAGCCTCCAGCTCACAATTTTTGAGAGTCCCCTGGCCTGCAAGGAGATCAGATCAGTCAATCCTAAAAGAAATTGAATATTGGAGCCAATACAAAAATCAACTGTTAAGAAATGAATTCATCCGCCACGTCAGGTTTGCACATAAATATAATGAATGCAATGACAGGAACTTAATGCATTGGTTTTTATGTTATACAACAAGACATTAAGAACATAAGAGATGCCAGTGTTGGATCAGGCCAAAGGCCCATCCAGTCCAACACTCTGTATCACACAGTGGCCAAAAATACCAGGTCCCCTCAGGAGGTCCACCAGTGGGGCCAGGACATTAGAAGCCCTCCCCCTGTTGACCCCCCCCCCCAAAGCACCAAGAAGACAGAGCATCACTTGCCCCAGAGTCCCTATCTATACCTTGTGGCTAATAGCCACTGATGGACCTCTGCTCCATGTGCTTATCTAATTCCCTTTTGAAGCCGTCCATGCTTGTAGCCGCCAGCACTTCCTGTGGCAGTGAATTCCAAGTGTTAATCACTCTTTGGGTGAAGAAGGGCTTCCTTTTATCCGTTATAACCTGACCGCTCAGCAATTTCATGGAGTGCCCATGAGTTCTTGTATTGTGAGAAAGGGAGAAAAGTACCTCTTTCTCTACCTCCTCTTTCCCATGCATAATCTTATAAACCTCAATCATGTCACCCCTCAGTCGTCATTTCTCCAAGCTAAAGAGCCCTAAGCGCTTTAACCTTTCCTCATAGGGAAAGTGTTCCAACCCTTTTATCATTCGAGTTGCCCTTTTCTGCACTTTTTCCAAAGCTATAATATCCTTTTTAAGGTGTGATGACCAGAACTGCACACAGTATTCCAAATGAGGTCGCACCATTGATTTATATAGGGGCATTATGATATTGGCTGATCTGTTTTCAATACCCTTCCTAATAATCCCCAGCGTAGCATTCCTAACGCAAAATAACAAATAAGCTTTGCGCTTCCACAGAGACCTGCTGAGAGATGCCACAATAAAATTACTGGTGAAAACTTTGGGGCACCACAATTAAATTTCTAGAAACCATGGTGACCTAGTGCCTGGGATCTGTCAAGCCCTGGCCACGTCACAATGAAGGTGCTCTTTAGCGTGACAAAACAAGAGTCCAATAGCAACTTCAAGACAAACTTTATTCCATCATATCAGAATTCACTTATTCAGCCAGTGGTGTAGTGTTGAAGAGTGTCGGAAAAGAGAAGAGTGTCTGTGAGATCCAGCTTCAAGTTCTCACTGCACCGTGGGAGCTTGCTTAGTGACCTCGAGCCTGTCACTTAGACTAACCTACCTCACAAGTTTCTTGTGAGCATTAAATGGAAGGGTATACCTCCCTAGGTGCCCTGCAGAAAAGGCAGAACGGAACGGTACCAAATAAACATCCAACTAGTGTTTATCACAGGTAACACTCGCGTCAGAACACGTTATTTTTTACCATCCACACAATGAAGCAACTTGCTGATACGCTGGTCATTGGTATTTGTTCAGTATGTACTTCCTAATTCTCACTTCTAAAGTCATGACCGTTGAATGGACGGGCAACTGAAGCCACGGGGTGTGTGGAAGGTCAGCAGCACTGGACACTGAGGAAGATCTGGGCACTCAGCCAATGGGTCAAGTTCCTCCGTTTTCCTGGGGGCTACTGTTACTTTAGAGGCATTCTACTAGGGTGACAAATACAGCCCTTGAACACATATGACGGCTGCCTTATATCAAATCAGACCTCAGGGTCACTATTGCCTACTCAGACTTGCAGCAGCTCTCCGGGGTCTCAGGTGGAAGCCTTTCATATCTTCTGTTACCCGCTACCTTAAGCTGGAGACTGAAGTTCGGATTTTCTGTAAGCAAAGCAGATGTTCTACCAGTGATCCACAGCCCTTCCTCTTCTCTTCCAGGACTTGCATGACACGTGTTTAATCCACCCCCCTGCTTACCAAAGCCCACAGAAACCACTGACTGGCTTTGCAAATTACCTACCCCTTCTCTCACACACACCATCTTACACACCTGCGTCAGGGGCAGAATGATGGTGGGCAGAGAATTCTACCTGACAGGATTTTGTTCCATTGCAGCTCAGAGACAACAGGAGAGGCAGGAGCCAGTATTAGTAATTTATTTTGAAACCGATACCCTTGTTCGGATGGCTACTGAGAAACGGATTTGAGTAATTGCATCTCAGCTGACATACAGCTGAAGAGAAAAGGAAAATCCCTGCACTCCAGCTCAGGTATAAGACAGGATGAAAGGAAAGGACAGGCCCTGATCTTTCCGGATGCTTCTAAACACGCCCTCACACACCTTTAGTCACACTTGATTCTGTTGGCAAAATTCACTAGAAGGTACAAGAAAGGTATTGTCCATCAGTGGGTGATCTGGAGACAGTGATACAGTGCACGAATCGGCAACCTCTTACACTTAAAAAAAATGAAACAAAAAACTAGACGGCTTTGCTGGAGAATCCAGAGAAGGGAGGGAAGAGCTTGACTGCCAGACGGACCAACACCTTAATTTGTCAGGGAGGCCGTTGTTGTGGTTGCTCCATCAGAAATCGCTTGGGAGCCTAACTGGTGAGACAGTCCGGATACGTTTCTATGTTCAGCTTGATTTCTCTTCAGACCGTACAGTGTTACTCCACACGACTGAGGGACTCATTCATTCAGCTGGCGGGCAACACTCACTTTCGAGCAGTCGTCGAGACCGCCTCTTTAAAGTCTCGGTTGAGAGGTCAGCTTTGCCTTCAGGTTTTCGGCAAGTTTGTCCAGGAAATCAAATGTGCTCAAGTAGTCGGAGCGCTGCACGCTGAGGCGGGAAAAGAAAAACAAAAGCATGAATGTTGAGATCGTGTCAAGTTCAGGAAAAAACCCCAAACCTTCCAAAAGAGGAAGTCACGAGGAAAACTTTTGCACAGTTCGTGCAGGTTATATGGAATTGCACTGTTCTCAGTGAAGGCTTTGAAGCACCGAGCGCAATGTTCCCTCTAAGTTGTGGAGTCTTGTGAGCAAAATTTCTATTTTGTGAGCTGCTGGCATTAAAGTTGTGAGCGAATGATTTGGCTACTGCATAAATTAGCTTGCTCTGGAGTCATCCTCCCTGAGCGAAGACAAAAATCTGTGAGCTGGAGGCTAAAATTCTGTGAGCTAGCTCACACTAACTCAGCTTAGAGGGAACACTGGCGCTGACCAGTGTTCCCTCTAAGCTGAGTTAGTCTGAGCTAGCTCACAGTTTTTTAGCCTCTGGCTCACACATTTTTGTCTTTGCTCAGGAAGGATGGCTCCAGAGCAAACTAATTTATGCAGTAGCCAAATCACTTGCCCACAACTTTAATGCCAGTAGCTCACAGAGTAGATTTTTTGCT